TACGTTCTTTTTATAGATACAATATATTTAAGTGAATGCTCTGTTTATAATAAACAGTATTAAACAACATTTACCGGCCTGAATGTCCGAGAAATTTTCATTGCGTCTTACTTAAATATATATATTTAAGTATATACACTTAAAGTATCTATAAAAAGAACGTATAAACATAAAAAATGTCTTAAAAAATTGTCCATTTCATAATGTGTGACGTCATTTGCTTACATTTGGATACGCATCGAGCAGTACGAGAGAAAATCATGGAAAATGGTAGTTTAAAAACAGTAAAATCATCACGCTCCTCTGTGGCTCAATCGGTAAAAGCACATCAGGCTATATGACGGGTCCGTATCGGATACAGGTTCGATTCCTGTCGGCGGACGAATATTTCCAATGAAAAATTTCTCGGACATCCAGGCTGGAAAATGTCGTCAATACTGTTTATTATAAAACAGAGCATTTACTTACGTTTATTCGTTCTTTTTATACATTCAAATATTCAAACCCTCGGATTAAACGAACATTGGGACAGTTTTCATATAAGTTATCATCCGAAAAGAAAAACATTATTAGATCGCATGAGAAATTGTATAAAAAACTAAATAAAAGCACCTTGTGTGTCGTTTTCAATGAAATGGGCATGAAAGAAAGATTGCTGCCTAAATACACACACACACACACACATATATATATATATATATATATATATGTATACTAAAGAACATCCTGCTTGAGGCCTCAGACCTTAGTCAAGAAAATCCTTAACAAGGATAGAAAGACCAAAGTAAACACCTACATACTCAGTAAAGTAAAGTGCTCAACGCCAAGATTATCTCGACAGAGCTAAAAACGATTCACAGTGTGCACTGAGATTATCAATGCGAGAAAAAAATAAATAGATAAAACAGAAAAGAGCGAAAGCCTTTGAGAATATGATCTATGTTGCCTTTCAATGTCACCTGTTCAGGGACTAATTCTATTAGAACCCCATTTCATTTTTTTTTTTATCGTGGAGGGAGGGCTTCTACCGCTCTTTCGACAGGGACGTTGATTTAGCGAAACCTTCAAAAGATTTGATTGTCTTCGCCCGTCATTTTAGCTCCTGCTTTTTGCTTATTTTCCTTCTTTTAGCGATTTTAATGTTTTCGAAATTCTTTTATATTTCATTATTTACTTTCTGATTTTTTTCCCTTGCCAAAAGAGTCATATTTCACTCTCTTATTCTCTTGTGATTCGTTACGTTCATTTCCTTCAAGTCCACGTACATTTTCCCCATCGACTCCTGGCTGCTTTTCTCGTATTTTTCCTCGGGAATTTCTTCTTGGCGATATTAACTGTTTCTTTTTTTCTTTTTTTTTTTTTGACATTTTATTTATTTTTATCTTCATGACTTGCATGTAAATTCGCTTCGAATTTTGACGGCTTTATCCGTCATTTTTTAGACCCCTTCTCCAACTTTTATTAAATCACCCTTTCTTCCTTCCTATTTTTCCCTTTCTACGCGAGCTTCCGCGTTTTTCACGTGACAATTGTCATTGGCTTAAAGATTTCCGATTGTTTCTCTTTTGCTTCGGCTATAAACCGATGACAATTTTCTCTGTTCTTATTTTTATTATTACCATTAGATTTCGTACGTAATACGCCTGTTGAATCTCCACGCTAGCAGGAACTGGTTGGCGCTCGCTAGAGATCAAATAACAACTTTCCGCAAAGCTACAGAACTCTTCATAGATATTATTTCTTAATAATTGACACTTTATATTCTATTATTATTATTATTATTTCCTTGGATTTCTGTTGTAAATCCATTCTCTTCCGGGTCCCAAACAGAGACCTAAGTTCAAAAATAGCTTTATGACATTTTCTAAATGATTATTTTATTAAACAAAAAAAAAAAAACAAACTAATATCACACACATAAATAAAAAGCCAAGTGAGAAGTATGATAGCTCTTCCATAATATATTGCTGCCAATCTAGTACCATGATTAAATTCATAAAATCTATAGGTACCCTACTGAAGAGTTCATCAGAAGAATATAATGAAAGTTTTATAGAAAGGCTATTTATTTAAGTCAAGATGCCAGGCCAATAAAGAAATTTGTTTTATCAAATGTAAATATAAGTCTAATCAGCTGCTAAGCTCATTTTACTGCTTCGTTATTCTCAGTGACCACTTATATGAGTGTTCACTTGTGCTTATGCAAATTATGCATACTAATTTGCTAGTATCACTACAAAATTCCTTCACTGAGTCTCTCGAAACCATTTCCAATCAATCTGAGGGCTTCAACTCTAATTGGAAATATTGCCATCCTCATGTGTCCCGTTTTTGCTATTTCCATTTCAAGATCCTTGTATTTTGATCGCTTTTTTGTTTCTTTTTTTTTTTTTTTTTTTTTTTAAGGATTTCAACGATACATTGCATTCTGCAGGATCAGCCATGTTAATAAGAAAACATATTTTTGTGGGTCTCTGATTACGATGTCTGGGTGATTAGATTTGATTGTTCTGTCTCTGTGTATTGTAAAGTCCCATCAAATTGTTACAGGTCCAATGTGTGTAACCGGATCTGGGTGATGTTCATACCAATTTCTTGCAGTTTACTTCCCGTAGAAGTTGCATATTTTCCAGTGCAGATATTGGCCAACTCTGCCATGCCAGGTTTATTATTATTATTATTATTATTATTATCATCATTATTATTATTATTATTATTATTATTATCATCATTATTATTATTATTATTATTATTATTAATATTATTATTATTATTCGATTTCTGCTATGGACACACTACCTACCTAGTCTGCGGAAAGACCTAAAGGCAGGTCGTGGTGTGTTGTTATTCACATTTCATGTTAATTTTTTTTTTTTTTTTATCTCCGATGAAGTTGCTAGCGTTACATAGACAAAGTTCTCCTTAGTGTGTGTGCTGTACTTAATAAGACAATTTTCTGTATGTCTCTTAAGCTGGGGTTTCCAGGGATTCTTTCAATGTGTTGTTTTTGTTCCATTTTTATAATTCCAAGTGCACCTATTACCACTGGTATTATTCTTGTTTTCAATTTCCACATTTTTTCTATTTCAATTTCCAGGTCTTTGTATTTTGATAGTTTTTCAAATTCCTTGGTTGCTATGTTACAATCCGCTGGACAAGCCATATCAATTAGTAGGCAAGTTTTTTTCTTTCTGGTTTTTTGACAATAATGTCCGGCCTATTTGCTTCAATTTTTCTGTCTGTGTGGATGGTATAATCCCATAGAATGGTGACATCTTCTATTTCTGTAACCGGCGCTGGCCGATGTTCATACCAGTGTTTGCTTACACATTTTCCAAAGTGTTTGCACATTGTCCAGTGTAAGTATTGCCCCACTCTATCGTGACGATTTTTATATTCATTTGGGGCAAGTATAGAACATCCTGAGATTAGATGGTCTATTGTTTCTTGGTATTTGTCACAGAACCTGCATTTTGGATCCACATTATTATGTATGATATTTGCCTGAAAATTCCTAGTGAAAAGACTCTGGTCTTGCGCTGCAAGAATAAAGCCTTCAGTTTCAGACTTTAATCCAGATGCTCGTAACCATCGATGAGTATTAACTTTATCAACATTGGGTTTATTTGCACGTTCTGGATATTGGCCATGCAGAGGTTTGTCTTGCCAGCGTTGTTTCATCTGTTCAAGGGCTTTATCCTTGGCTTTCTTTTTCATATCTTTTTGCTGCAATAGTTGGTTCTTGGCTTCTGTTTTTGTTACTACAGAATCTACTAAATGTAAATGTTGTTTGTATTTACTGCCTTCTTTTTATTATTGAATATTTTTTTTTTCTGTTTTCATGTTGTTTCACTAATTTTATCATCCAGTCATTTGTTGTTTCCATGTAAGTTAGTAAGCCAATAGTTGTTGTCTTGTATGACAATTCTAGCTGAATAAGACCTCTTCCACCTTCTTTACGGGGGTATGTATAGACGGTCTACATCAGCCTTTGGATGATGCATCTTATATAAGAAAAGCTTTCTTGTTTTAGAATCCATTTGTCTGATGTCATTTAGAGTCCAGTTCAAGATGTTGAAACTATATTGGACCACTGGGATGGCTAGGTTATTAATGGCCATAATTCTGTTCTGAGAATTCAATTCAGTTTTTAATACCAGTCGTACCCTTCTATAGTACTCTTTACGCACTATTTCTTTTCATTTTCTTATGGTGAATTCCTTCACTCTCATTTACACCTAGGTACTTATAAGCTTCTCCTTGTTCTAAATCTTTTTTATTGTTACAGCAGGGTCTAAACTAATAGAGGAAGTTTGTTGTAGCGATCCTCGTAAAACTGTAGCTTTAGCACATTTATCCAAATTGAATTTCATTCCGATGTCTTCACTGAAGCATTTTACAGTTTGCAGAAGACCTTCCAGCTCATTGTCATTCCTAGTATACAATTTTAAGTCATCCATGTAAAATAGATGGTTTATTTTCTTTTTGAGCTATTTTGTAACCGCATTCTGTCTTGTTAAGTTGGCTGGTTAATGCTATAAGTGATATGCAAAATAATAAAGGAGACAAAGAGTCACCTTGAAATATTCCTCTATTGATGTTTATTTCGCCAGACTTATAGGTTCCATTTTTATGATTGAGGTAAAGTGTAGTTTTTCCATATCGACATACATTGTTTGATGAAATTGATGATAACGGGTGATACCTTGTACATTAAAGACTTTAAGATCCAGGAATGTGGTACACTATCAGATGCTTTTTACGATAATCTATCCAGGCAATACTAAGATTTTTTTTTCACGGAAGCAGTTTTTCCAGGATCATCCTATTAATAAGTAATTGGTCTTTACATCCGTAGCAGCCTCGTTTGCACCCTTTTTGTTCAAGTGGTAGTATGTCATTTCTTTCCAAGAAGAAATATGTCTGTTTTGTTAAAATAGATGTTAACAGTTTGTATGTTGTTGGAAGACATGTAATTGGTCTATAGTTTTTTCGAATATTTGTGTCACTATTTTTGGGTAGAAGAAAGGTAACTCCTTTGGTCATCCATGCATTAATTTTAGTTGGATCGGTAACCATTTCTTGAAGTTCTTTGGCGAGTTTTTTTGTGCTGTATTTAAATAATATAGCCAGAAGTTAGAATTTTATCTATTCCTGGAGATTTCCAGTTGTGTTTTTTTCAATGCACATTTAACATCTTCTTCTGACAAAAAAAAAAAAAAAATGTTCTAGTTTATTTTTCATTCGTTCTAACTCTTGTCTGTCCAATCTGCCTCTTCGTTGTGTTCTTTAGGGCAAGCCCATATTTTTCCCCAGAACTGTATAACTTCTTCCATTTTTCCAACCTGTCACTTCAATTCTTTGTTTACCTATTTCCCTGTAAAATTTCTTTGCATCGGTTTGAAAGATCTTGTTCTGTCTATAGAATCTTGATCTTTTCTCGTAGCGTCTTATTCTTTGAGCCTTCAGTTGTATTGTTTTGCTTTATTTTTTCTTTTAGTTGATAGGACTTCATTTTCATTCCTGATATTGTATTTTCTTTTGACTCTTCTGCCTTTTCTAGTTCTTATTCTTACTCCTCTTTAGTTCATCGAGTACTGATAATTCCAATTGGTGTTCAATTTCTTTTTCTATTTTTTTCTTTTCCAAGGTGGATCTTCATGTCTGTGAGACTGCCTTTTTTATTTTGATGTTCAGTTTATTTGTTGCTGCTATTGCTGATGCATATATTGCTTCATTGAGATTTATATGAGTGTCTTCTTCATCCAGAATCAATTTAGTGCTTTTATTATAGAGCTTAATAGTTTTGAGGTTATGCTTTGTTGGTTGTAATTTTGGGAGTTGTTCTCGTTCCTCCATTGCAATATTCTGTATCTGACTTATATGGCTCATGATTTCATCCTTGGCTTCTTGTATATTAATCTTGTTTTCTGTGAATAATTCTGTTCGATGAATTTTGAACTCGTTTTATTACCGTCTTGTGACTGACTAAGATCATACCTTTCCAACATTTCTAAATTTTCAGCATTATCTTCACAGTGATTTGTGTGTATTTCAGTTTTTTTCATTATGACCTGAGGCTTGTGTGATGTTACTACTTTTTTTCCCCGATTCCGGTTCCTTTTCATGTTTTGTTGGTTCATCTATTCTTGTTGCAATTCTTTTTTTTCATTAATTTCAGCCTCTGTCAATCGGTTATTTCGCATGATGTCCCTTCTTACATTGGCTAGTTTATTTTTTCTATGTACTTTCTAATTGTTTGCCCAACCTTCTCTCACCAAATGTCATATGTTTGGCGAGTGATGTTTTTTCTGAGGTTTGAGTAACGCTTCATGGAATGCAGTCATAACAACTTTGTACTCCTCACGAGACCATTTTATTTTTCTTTCCTTAAATTTACGGTTATGGATCTAGTTGGAGAATTTACAGGACCATCATTAGGATTATCCTGGTTGTGGGGACCTGAAGATTCATTCTTTGTGTAGGAGTTTGTTCCTGGCAGATTTTTTTCGACCTCAGGTAGGTTCCTCCCTGAAGGACGGGCTCCCTGTTTATCCACTGGAAGAGCCATACTGGACGTTTTGTTTCTATTTTTTAATTTTCATATTAATCCCAAAGTGACGCACGGGTCCAAAGTCCACCCAAAGTTGCCCGGCACGTTGAGTAACGGTCTTTTACAGACAGGGTTCCGAAGCCTGTGGGATCGTTCAAGACCTCATAACGCAGTAGCCATTCCTCCTCAATGATTAACACCTTGAGTTGCGGGTTGTTGTTCGGAGTTTCCTTCTTTCTAAATGGGTTGCCAAATGGTTAATAGACAGAACACGATTGGAAATCAAAGAGAAAAGACGCTGGTTAAAAAAAAAAAAAAGTTTACATTCGTTTGTCTTTGCTGTGAAATTTAAAAATAATTTATTGCCCATCTGTAAATTCACGATATTCCTTCTTAGAAAGATTGCATTTTCTTTTCATAAATTCATAAAATGTAATATGTAAATGTAAATTCCGTTATTTTTTTAAAGTCGTTGAAAATAGCGTTGTTTAAAAAAAAAAATGCAAATTTCTAAGAAAGAACATCGTAGAAATTGTATTGTTTTTTTACCTGTAATGTTTTTTTTTGCAGGGTGGATATTGAAAACTAAGGATATGTGAATGAGAAAAATTAAATAATTGATTAATCTATCAGTATTATTTAAAGGAGAACCAAATAAATTAAATAATAATAATACGAAGAAAAATTCATGCTTACGCTAAAATAGTAAAAATAACAAAATTTCATATGCGTTAAAAAAACTTGGAAAACAGCCGCTCAACGAAAAAAACATCACTACACTAGAGAGTTTTATATTAAATTTTAATTTTTTTTTTCCCATCACTAGTCCTAGTAACAAAAATAATTGTCATAAAAAAATTAAAAGTTTACATTCGTTTATCTTTGCTGTGAAATTTAAGAATAATTTATTGGCCCATCTGTAAATCCCGTTATTTTTCAAAGTCGTTGAAAATATTTTTTTTTGAAAAAAATACGCAATCCTTCTAAGAAAAGAATATCGTAGAAATTGTATTGTTTTTACCTGTCATGTTTTTTTTCTTTTTGGGGGATATTGAAAACTGGGGATATATGAATAAGAAAAATTAAATAATTGATTAATCTATCAGTATCATTTAAAGGAGAAACAAATAAATTAAATAATAATAATACGAAGGAAAATTCATGCTTACGTTAAAATAGTAAAATAACAAAATTTCATATGCGTAAAAAAAAAAAAAAAAACGTTACGTTTGGAAGAGCTTCTTAAAACACGTCATTCTCGTTGTAATCCCAACCGCGTCTCTATTATTATCATTGTCATCATCATCATCATTCGATTTCTGTTATGGACACTACCTACAAGTCTGCGGAAAGACCTAAGGCAGGTCGTGGTGTTGTTATGGCCACATTCATTTAATTTTTTTTTTTTTTTTTTTTTTTTTTCCGATGATATTGCTAGCGTTACATAGACAAAGTTCTCCTTAGTGTGTGTGCTGTATTCTAAGACAATTTTCTGTATGTCTCTTAAGCTGGGGTTTCCAGGATTCTTTCAATGTGTTGTTTTGTTCCATTTTTATAATTCCAAGTGCACCTATTACCACTGGTATTATTCTTGTTTTCAATTTCCACATTTTTTTCTATTTCAATTTCCAGGTCTTTGTATTTTGATAGTTTTTCAAATTCCTTGGTTAATGAGTATGTTACAATCCGCTGGACAAACCATATCAATTAGTAGGCAAGTTTTTCTTTCTGGTTTTTTAATAATAATGTCCGGCCTATTTGCTTCAATTTTTTTCTGTCTGTGTGGATGGTATAATCCCATAGAATGGTGACATCTTCTATTTCTGTAACCGGCGATAATAATAATAATGATAATAATAATAATTATTATTATTATTATTATTATTATTATTATCATTATTATATCATTATTATTATCATTATTATTATTATTATCATTATTGTTATTATTATTATTATTATTATGTTACTTTGGCACATTCATTTATTCAATGTAAATTGTGTTCTTGAGGTACGATATTAACAAGACTCTTCGGAAGAACTTTTTGGAGAATCCTCACAAATTAAAAGAAGACAGTTTCTGAGGGTCTACAATGTTGAACCCAATACCAATTCTCCAGAAACGATATTTCTACGTGGTGTTCCAAGTGCACCCATTACTACAGGAATTACTTCAACAGATAGGATTCATAGCTTCTTCAACTTCCTTGTCAGATCGGGAATGTTTTTCAATCTTTTAAGTTTCTTTTGGGGTCCACATTTATATCTATCTATCTATCTATCTATCTATCTATCTATCTATCTATCTATCCCATTCTATTAATATCTATCTATCTATCTATCTATCTATCTATCTATCTATCTATCTATCTATCTATCTATCCTATTCTATATATTTCTATCTATCTATCTATCTATCTATCTATCTATCTATCTATCTATCTATCTATCTATCCCAGTCTGTACATATCTATCTATCTATCTATCTATCTATCTATCTATCTATCTATCTATCTATCTCATTCTATTAATATCTATCTATCTATCTATCTATCTATCTATCTATCTATCTATCTATCTATCTATCTATCTATTGCATTCTTATCATATAGCAAGATGCAATATATACTCTTATATGTACAATATCTAATGCATAGACATTTACATGGTACGTAAGAGCAAAGTCAATAATTTAACAAATGCTAATTTTCTTGGTAACACGCAAAATCACGACCGCTTATCCAAAAGTTGACAAAATCCCTGTCTCAAAGATCAAAGTCTTATATATAAAAAAAAGAAACATATTTAATGCTGAAAATTCAAGGATATTTTAATTCTAATTTTAATGTCAATTTGCGGCAATAATAATAATAATAATAATAATAATAATATCCATTATATACACATATAAGTAAAATATCCAATATGTACAGTTATAAGTACGATATCCAATATATACACTCCAATGTCAAATTAAGATAATAAACACAATATCCGATATATAATCTTATTTTGTGCTCAGAAATTGATGCTCCATTTATGTCAAGATAATTATGAATGATCACTTGAAACGAAAGCAGGACAAACGATTATATTGTATAAGTCATCACGATATAATATTCTATGATAACAGGCGAATGGCTTTAGCTATCTCAATCTGTTCATATCTTTCTCAGTCTGTTTATATCTATGTATCTATCCATCCATCTATATCAGTCTGTTCATATCTATCTATCTTTCTATCTATCTATCTATCTATCTATCTATCTATCTATCTATCTTCTCTTTCTATACATCTCTATCTCATTCTGTGCATATCTATCTCAGTCTGTTCATATCTATCTATGTCAGTCTATTCTTATCTATCTATCTATCTATCTATCTATCTATCTATCTATCTATCTATCTCATTCTTATCATATCCCAAGATCCAATATCTATCTCTAATATGTACAATACACAATATATACACTTTTATGTACAGCATCCGGTATATACTCTTATAGGCCCAATTTCCAATATACACTCTTAAATGTACAATATCCATCATATACTCCAATATGTACAATATCCTATATATACCCATATGTATACAATATACAATATATGCTCATATATACAATATCTATTATATACACTCCAATATCCGGTATATAGACTTATTTTATGCTCACAAATTGATGCTACATTTATGTCGACATAATTTTGAATGAATTATGAAACTTTCTTTGCATTTTCTTTCTTTCTCCCATTTGATTTTCCTTCTATATTTCTTTCTTTCTTTCAAATTCTCAAATATAATCAAGCCAGCATTGTATCTTTAAAAATAATTGAAGAACATATCGTGAGCGCCTTTTGATATAATTCTTAAGTACTCAGTAATATCTAAAATTTTGGTAAATATTTTCCATAATCTAATGTTTTATTGAATCTTATTTACTTGGTCATTAAATTTACTATAATTATCGCTCTTATGTCTTCTATGTTCTGTATCTACAAAAATCGTCATCTTTATAAACAAAGAAAAAATTCAAAATTCTTTAACAAATATTGATGTTAGATGAATGGTACTAAGTTTTTCAATTTATGAGGAGTAAAGATATTTTTTACTTAAAAATAATGTTATCTAAAAGGGTGAAATTAAGACAGAATTTTAAAAGATTTAAAACATAATAAATTATTCTAATTAAAGTTTCAACAAAAAAAAAATGAAAATAACTCTTGTAAAAATTAATTATTCATCGAAAATTTTATTTTTTAAGACAAAACTGTCCTTAATATATTTTATTTATAAAAGCAATTAAAAGCTTTTCTAATTGAATAATTACTTAGTTTTGTTGCATTTGTTATTTTGCAATTCAGGGCAGATTTTCTGTAAATGGTGTTATTGTTTTAAAGAAGGAAAGGATGATGTAAATTCTCCAAATACTTCTGCTTTTAACTAATATAAATAACAAGGAGGTGAAAACGTAATATCTAATGATTTCATAAGATTAAATAAGTAGGATTGGGAAGAGATGTCAAAAAATAATTTCATCAAAATTTTCTAAAATAAAGATTCTAAAATAAATTAATATATTTGTGAATAATTCCTGAAAGTTTCATTATAATCCGACAATTTTTTTTTGGCAATTTATGTGTTTTTCACGCGACCCCACTCCCCCCCCAAAAAAAACACCAAAGGCTAAAATTTCATATAGTAATCTTGGGTCACCTCGCTGACGCATGAGAAAAACAGATTTTTAACCAAAGTTTCGAACTTACTAGAATTAAACAATTAAAACAAAGAAAAAATAATTGGGTTTGTATCTTAATAAGAAAAAGATTTTGACAATAAAAACTTTGTATATATACATATATATATTAAAAAGAAGAGAAGAGAGGTGCCGCAAACGTTTTTGGTTGTAATGTGGATTTATTTAGAAAAAATATTATGCTTTGTTTTACATAATTTTACGACACGTGTTTCTGGTCTCGTGACCGTCTTCAGGTGAAAGTGGAGATTTCTACATATTATTAAAATAGGTACCTCCACGAAATCGCTAAAAAAAGAGCATAGCTTGATGAAAAAGACGCCAACCTTGCCGAACACAAAATTTTATTGTCTAAATGCTTATGTTATTATTAAGAGGAAAGACCAAAGTTTTTTTTAATTATTTTTTAAAAATTTTTCCTTCTTTTTAGAACATTCTAAATTTTGATTAAAAAACCTTTTTTCTATTTGTATCAGTGGAACTAGTAAATAACATAGACAATTTTAGCACGTTTTTTGGTATGACACACATTAATTTGAAAAAATCGTGCAAAAATAGAAATAATTATCGGATGTTAATGAAACTATTCACAGATGATCGAAATTATTATAAATATGTTTTTTTTTTTATGAAAGTCATGGTAGAAATATTTTTAAAAATATTTATTACCCCCCTAACTAATTTTTTATGAAAACGCTAGAAATTCGATCGCATCGGTTTTAGTGATTACAATAATTAAAAGCACAGGGCTTTGAGGAATGCAAATCATGTTTTTTTGTTTTTAATTGGATACGCAGTACCTGAAATTCAGCTCTGAATTGTAACATACAAAACTCAATAAAACAAAGATATTATTTAATTTCAAATGCTTGTAATTGCTTTTAGTTGTTTTTATGAATATGAACAATATTTTTCTGAAAGCAAAAAATTTTTTCGATGAAAATGAATTTTAATACAATTATTTGTTATTTCATTAATTATAATAGATTTTACATTTAAGTTGTTAAAATATTATAAAATTAGTTAAAAAACCGCATCGGCTTTCATAAGTGTCCTTATGAGATAGATCTTTTTTTAGCGCGTTGTAAATTGTATCATTTTGACTAATCAGAAGATCCCCATTTATTAAGAAATGTAATTTTGTGCTTATAATCGAGCTGTTATTATAAAATACGGAAGACCAACCAGAATATAATTAAGCTGCGTTATTTGAGTTAAGCATTGTTCTCCGCTGTTAAGGCCTTTACTTTTACGAAAACAAGTGTGGAGAAGTTAATTTGATTTTTCAATTTCAACTGAGAAGGGTACCTACAAGTATCAGTATCATCTTATGAAATTTATATGATCTTATTTTTATATTAATCTCAGTTACGACATTTTCCATAAATGAAATATCAAAATTAATAATAAAATGAATGCAAATACAAATAACAGTAGAATGTAATAAATGTACATAAAATTATAGTATTTTTATGTACAATTCTGATAAAATTTCATAAGAAAGATACCTATAAATTAATTAGATACCTTTCTTAAGAAATATGAAATTTAATGTCACTCTTAACAGTTTTATTTAATTTCTTTTACAATATATTTCCCATAAAGCATCATAAACGTAAAGGTGAAAGCTAAGTAAAAAAAAAAAAATATTAGACCGCTGAAAGTTTTTCGTTAAAAATAACGGGGTAAATAATTTGTTCACGTAAATGTAAATTATTTCACTTTTCTCCTTCCGTAGAACAAATTAGCCTCATGGAATTCGTAAATATATCATTCATCACATGTCAAGAGACGCGAAAGTTTATGACCTGCTTTGTTTTATTTTCAAATTACATCATTTGGCACAAAAAAGCTAAGTTAAGTTTGGTTCAAAATATTTTAAATAAACATTATAATTTCTGATTTTCTTAAAATAAGTTTTGAAAAAATGATAATTGATATTTAAAAAATTTCAAAGTCAGATTTCCAGTTTTTTTTTAAATGGAAAAAAAAATGGTCAATTTTGCTGACTCAAAAAAAACTAGATTTTTTAACGAAAATTTCGGACGTGCTAGAACGATTAAAAATGGAAAAAATACCCCAAAATACTTTGACCTTTCCTCTTAATAATAACAAACATTTAGACGATAAAATTTTGTTTTCGTCAAGTTTTATGTCTTTTTCATCATGCTATGCTCTCTTTTTAGCGATCTCGCGGAGGTACCTATATTAAAAATAATTAATTTTTCTTCATGTTCAATGTGAAATATTCTCGATATGAGACATTCTCTGTTTGTGTGTTGGTAATCCGAATTTCAAACAGAGAATGTCTCATATCGAGAATATTCACATTGAACATGAAAAAAATTAATTATTTTAATAATATGTGGAAATCTCCACTTTTACCTGAAGACGGTCACGAGACCAGAAAACGTGTCGTAAAATTATGTAAAACAAAGCATAATATTTTTCTAAATAAATCCACATTACAACCAAAAACGTTTGTGGCACCTCTCTTCTCTTTTTTTAATATACATACTTTTCTCTCGGTAGAACCACTACAACATATTTTTTTTTTATATATATATATATATATATATATATATATATATATATATATATATATATATATACTAGCAGTAGAGCCCAGGAATGTAACAGTAAGAGATAGATCAAGTATCGACCATCATAAAGACTGAAAAATAAAATTGACAAAGATTATTGTTCAAGGTTGACGGACACGCATGTCTTAATTATTATTTTTTTTACGAATTGATCAAACCCAAACAAAATCATTGTTTTCAATCGTTATGAGTCTACCGATTGAATAGAATTTTATTATAAACAATTGTCTTGTAAATGGAAATTTTAAAGCATTCTGAATGTAAAAATAAAGAAAAAATGTGCCAGACAATAAGAAACACTACCTTCCAAAAAAAAAAAAGGTGAAGTTTTGTTGAAATCGGTTGAAAAATGTAGGAAATCCGATCCCATATATAAACGAACACACACACACACACAACCAACCAACCTGGGTTTTATAATAAGTATAACTCGATATTAATAAGTATAACTCGATATGAGTTGTCCCCCTTTCATTAATGTCACTTAATCGTGTTTTCAAATTAATTTCATGCAAAAACGATTGTGTTTTTCCAATTTTTGGTGCTGTCAGAACCACTGCAAGGTAATTTTACGTAGTCCTGTGAAGTTTTGTTGAAATCAGTTAAAAAATGTAGGAAATCCGATCCAATATATAAACGTACAGACACACACACACACACACACAAATCTGCGTTTTATAATAAGTAAGATATATATATATATATATATATGTATATATACACCGATATATATATATATATATATATATATATATATATATATATATATATATATATATATATATATATATATATATATATATGTTTATTATACACCGAAATAGATATATTGTATTATAAATAATTATTTAATTACATCAAACTGATATTAAAAAAAAAAAGACTAATGAGAAAAAGAGCAGTAAATTACTAAAAACCTGCTGGTAGATTATCTGTTGTCATAATATGGGATAGTCAAGAACAAAGGTGACAGAAAAAAAGAATATAGATGAATTTGGCTTGATTGAAAAAATATTATTTTAAAAATTATGAAACTAAAATCATCTCTCGTTTCATGTGTTTGTGTAGATGTGACAACAACAAATCCCAG